GGCGGAAAAATTTTTTAAACAAAAATTGAAACAAAAAAGGGGGTTTGGAGTTGAAAGTTGCCCAAAGTCGAAAATCCTATATTTTGTGGGTGAAGGGGGTGGTGGGTGGGTGGGGTTGGGGGTAGAGGCTAACTTTTTTTCAGTGTCAACAACTTTCAGATCAATTTAATACTTCATTATGGGTCAATATTCAACAGGGTCGATTTTTTGAACTTGTTGACGTCATCAGGTGTAAGAAAAAAAATTATCAAGCTGTTGAAAAATGACCCCGGGTATAAATTCAACGACTTTTAGTCTCAATATTCAACGTTGAAAAATGACCCCGGTTCAATATTCAACGTTGAAAAATGACCCCCGGGTCAATTTTCAACTCGGTGCAATATTCAACGTTACACCGGCTAACAAGATGGCGACTCCCATGAGAGAATTTACTTTTTAAACAAAGATATGTGGGTTAGGTATAACAGTTGCAACGCCGCAACAGTTGGTAATCTACTTTTTTTTATGATGGAACGCAAACATTATACCCAAACTAGAGGTACTGTGCGCAATGAGCTCACTAAATGATACCCCCCGCCTCCCATAATGTCTATGTGTAGTCTTGTTTTCCCAGACTCTCGCTCTGAGTTTGCCGGATGAGAATCTGGTCTGATTCCCTATTCTATTTTTGTAACCAGTAGAGGTCGCTAAACCAGCCAACAAGATGGCGGCTCCCATGAGAGAATTTACTTTTTAAAAAAAGATATGTGCGTTTTTTGTTCCTTGTAAAGCAGACAGAGGTATTCTATTATAAAACCAGATAAAAGTAAAGGCGCAGCCTCTCTTTTTTTAAAGAATAATACAGATCTTAGCATCGAAGAGAATGTATCAGCCAATGAAAATCCAAACCGATTTCTCGGTAAGCCTCAACTTAAAATTACAAAAATAGAATAGGCATCAGACCACCTTGGCTAGGGCAAAGTTTCGAGAGCGAGAGTCGGGGGAAAACGAGACTAGTCTTATGTGTTGCTATATATTGTTGTACGATAATGTGTAAAGAGGAATAACTCGTCCCATCAAATGTTATCCAGAAGCTTCTATATGTGACGTCATAGGTAAACATATAATGACATGTTTTGCTATGGGAAACCTAAAATGCCTGTCGAATAAAAAGTAAAATAGGAGGTGCACAATGGCAATATGTAATAAAGATTCTGTGAAAGTTTCATTAAATTTCACTCAGTAGCAATTTCTTCTTTGTGAATTTTGAATTTTTGCCATCCAGTAAAAACTAAGCATGACCTTACTGACTGTTAAGCTTTTGTTGGTAGACCCCCCCCCCTTTTTTTTAACAATTTTAAAACATTACCTCTCTGATCTTTTACCAGAACAGATAGAATGGAATCGTACATCACATGCAGTGCATTTAATTTACTCGGCAGATCGTTCACCCTCGCTCCATTCTTCAATAAAATATGAACACATTTAGCATTAAATGTTTCTATTGCTTGAATTAAAGGATTTTTCTCAAGTTTTTCTTGGTTTGGATTTCCGCCGAATTTTATCAAAAGTTTAACGATGGACGATACTTCATCTTCAGTGTGATATTTTGCGTTTTTTAGGATTAAATATAAAGGAGTCTCGTAGTCTGAATTCGTGTCGTTTGGAGAAAGACCCTGCTCTAGCAGGTAGCTGACCATTTCTACAACGCTGCCGATACCTGAAAAATAATTCCTCACACGTTGTTATAATTTTAATGTTATCAATACAAACAGTACACTTAATTATATATATATATATATATATATATATATATATATATATATATATATATATATATATATATTTAATGAACATTTTATTATATTGCGCTGTTAAAAAAGTGCTTTATAAACTTTATATATATACGAGTCATATTCACATTAAATTATGCATTTTATTTCTCTTCTGTGTCCAAAGGTAACAACCTTGGACAAATATTTAACCAAATTTTAAATTCTGATCCTCTTATGGACCTGCTGTTCTTGAAATATATCTGAAACATTATTTCCTGTATTCCCATGAGCAAAATTTTTTTTTCATCTTTTCCAATATTATATAGAAATTTTTAAAACAACCCCATAACTTAAAGAAAAGGCCCATAATTGACCATATGGCTCACTTGAACACTGTAACAAGGAAAAAACTAAGAACATTATAGTATTGAAAAGCTTTAATGCTGTATTGGTCCCAACCTACCCCTACAAAGAGTTGGTATGACTTGAACAAAATTGAATATACACTAATTAAGAATACTTACCTTTTTTACTGTGACTTTTTTCCCTACAAGTTTGAACTTCTATTGTGACCCTATCCTACTCCTGGGGATAATTATTTGAAAAATACTGTAATCTTCACTATCTGGGCATCTTCTATATAAATATGTCCAATTATGGCTTTGCTGTTTTTGAGAAGATTTTCAAAGATATCTCCTATGCATTACTATGTAAAATTTTTATTTCCCCACCCAACCATGGGGACATGATTTGAACAAACTTGAATCTACACTACCTGAGGATGCTTCCACATAAGTTTCATAATTTCTGGCACAGTGGTTCTTGAGAATAAGATTTTTAAAAGGTTCAATGTTTCACAAATTCACGATAAACTGCTCTTGAAAGAAGGCGTGCCCTTTTATTTGAACAAACTTGAATCTCCTTTACCCAAGAATACTTTGTGGCATGGCTATGTAGTTCTTGAGAAGAAGACGCCAACTACGAAGGACAACGGACAAATTTCGATCAGAAAAGCTCACTTGAGCAAAACCGCTTTTATGAAAGGAAAGTTTACTTATGTCTTTTGTTGCTCACTGAATGTCTTGAAAATCATACTTGTAAAAGTTCTGACGACAATGCACTTATTTGGACACTTAGTGACCCCTTAGATACTAAATTAACACCTTTTATTCTGCAAGAAATATTACAATTTCACGAAAACTGTATTTCAATATCTGGACTCAACGAGGAATTATTTTTTTAAATAGGAAATGAAAATTATATGCAGCACAGACTGACAAAGTGAACCGTGACTTTGCTTACCTGAAGACAAACAAAGATGCAGACACGAGTTTTCATCCTTGTCTTTTAAATGCAAGTTAGCCCCCATTTCAACCAGAGTTTTCAATTTGGACAAATTTCCAGTAGAGGCAGCGATGTGTTCCTCCGAGATTCTTCTATCAGATTCACAAACAACTTCTTCATTGCATGCAAGTAGGGAAGCAATTTCATCCCGCAAACTTTTAAAATTTTCCGATTTTTTGTAAATGTCAGACTTCAAGTACAAATCAAGAGGTGTAGAGCCTTTATAAAGTTCAGTCAGGCTTCCTCCAGCCTTCTTGTGGAACTCTATATACTCGATGCATTCTTTTAACAAATTTGGTGTAATAACAACTACCAAAAGAAAATGGCAATACTCGGTGCATTTTTTAAAACCAACTTGGTGTAATAACTACTACCAAAAGAAAATGGGAAATGCAAAGTCATTTACGCTGTAAAAAACTTAATAATCATGAATCCTTATAACCATTAATTTCTTTGTTTTTTAATTAGTTCAGCGCCTAAAATAATTCTTAAAGGAGTCAAAGAAAGAAGAGAAAACGTTTTCAACATGCCTATCGCACAATCAATCAGTAAATAAGCAGAATTTTCGAGCTAGTTCTGTGCGTAACCACAGGTGCTCGTAAACAGGATTATCCCTACCCCCCTTCCCCCAACCCTGTGAATAGAAATTGCATATGATTGATATATTTCTGTGATTTTCAAATAGAAACATATAGATTAAATTGCCAGAGATTAGAAAAGAAGAAAACAATCAGATTTTTATTTAATATTGAAAAGGGTGGGGGGAAGGAGGGGGGCAGGGTTAATCCTGTCAACGAGCACTGTGTGCGTAACTACAAGAAATGGAAATAAATAAAAGTAAAAATGCTAGTAACACTTACTTTTATAAAAGTCGAAAGGTAGCCAACAATCATGTAAAATACCCCTTTCTGACTTTTTAACAGACAGGTCCGCCCCTCTCCTTACTAAGGCTTTCATCAATGCGAAATGTTGATGTTTACAAGCCAGCTGTAACAGAGAAGTTAATTCGGTCTCTATACATTTCGCTCCAGCGTTCAGTAAATGTTCTATAATTGAGCCTATGCATTTGTATGTGGAATACCCATCCCTGAGGTAAAATTTTCGGTACTTTTCTACTGTCTTCTGAAGCACAGTTTTCCCTGATGTATCTTGGACATCCAGATCGGCGTTACTTTTTATTATCAAGGATATTGTGTCCAGTTTTGACGCAATATCTAAAAAAGAGAATTGTATACGTTCATATGTAATCAAAGTTAAGTTAATATTAGAATCATGGGAAAAATGGCATTTGTAATTCAATGCAATGGAGTTATAGAATAGTATCTTTAATACGTTAATTAATATTTCAATTATGAATTGTCAGAAAATAATAAAAATACAAGTCAAGATTTTATAATTTATCTTGCATATGAAGTATAGGTCTCATTTGCTCGAGAAATTATTTACTAGTTAATTACGAAAGAAGGCTTAAGCTAAAAAAAAATTAGCTAGAACGAAAATTTGAATACCGGTATTCACATGTTCTTACAAAGCGCTAAATAAAATATCGTCGAACCTGGAGAATCACAGAGAACGTGTAAAATGTTCCTTCTTGCTGTCGCTGTAACATCTGCACCTCTTTCCATCAGTTTTCTGATCACATCAGTTGCATTTTGATAACAAAAGTAATCAAATGGCGTGTCTCCTTTACTGTTTCTTCTGTTTACATTAATGTGTTTATTTGTGTTGAGCATCAATAATGCCACTCTTTGATATAATTTAGCATCATGAATTTGGGATACATTCAAAAATGCAGTAAAATGCAAATCAGTAATATGATTTGAACCTTTTTCTAGGAGCAATATTTCCAAGGCTCTAAGATTTTCTGCAAAACAAAAAATAAGGGAAATTAAACAATTCAATAACTTTTGTGTCTTTTATTGCCTCAACATTATTGATTGTGGCATGAAATTTGCAAAAACTTGAATCAGAACTAAACAAATTGCAAATTTTAAAATGTTTACCTGTTGCAATACATTTTTCGAAGGCATCAACATTTCCCTGTCCTTTGTGAAGAGGATCTGCTCCTGCTTGCAGCAACTTTCGGATGTCATCTTTATTTTTCGAGGCTAAACAGGCACAAGCAAGATTCAGTGGGGAATCAGCGTTTTCATCCTCGATGTTTGGATCCCTGGTCAAAGGCAGTAAAATATCCAATATCTTCTGGGATTTTGATTTTACATATGCTTGAGGTAACCATGGATCGTATAATTCGTCTTTATTTTCTGTAAAAAAAAAAGTAAAAATGGATGAACATGGTTGCATAATAAACATGTATATTATTTAATGGTAAATAAAATTCAAATGCTTGGTTAAAAAAATCTTTGATAAACCAATACTAAAATGAAAAAGAGACACTCCCTTCAAAAATAATTGAGATTAATTTAAAATGTAAATAAAAGTTTGATTCTAAACTTTAATAAATTTAATTAAATATTGAGAGGAGAGAAGATCTATTCGACTTTTAAAAATCATGTTTCCTATATTACCCCCTTGAGGGAATAGAAATCTTGAAGCGACACATGCAATGACTGAATATACATGGATACCGAAACAATACGAGACTAAAATAGCAAGCCGTTATTTTCTACCACATATACTTTTCAACAAGTTTTGAAATTTCAAAAATAACAAAAAAATCATCTTTTATGTTTTGAACACATAAACAAGAGGCCTACGGGCCTTATAGGTCACCTGAGTATTGTGCAACAACTTTCAAACAATTAAATTTGGTTCGTGTTTTAAACCAGAGGCCATGAAATTCGCAATTCACAATTTTGAAAGAGGTACCATTGCTTATCATAATTTTGACGTCGCGCATAGTATTGGGGTTTGAAATTGCGTAACTTGTAACACTGCAAACGACGGGCTTAAGTATTTTTGGTCATTTTATCGTTTGGCTACATAGATTTTTCTGCAAATATGTACACTGCTTTTCTTATGTCCGGTGATGATGTCGTACATTTATTCATAATTTCCCAATTCACTGGTCGATTTCGACTGTAAGTAAAATTGAAAGGGTTCTGTAATATGCCATGATCTTTTCAAGTCACAAGAAAAGATAGAATGTTTGGTAAAGATTTTTTTAATATAACAGGCCTGGTTCTTTTCGTAAAACTAAGTTGATAAATGAAATGTGCACATCAAGAGGTAGTCAAATGTTTCATTAAAAATTTTAAGCAAGTAGCAGGACAGATTAATAGAGCGATTTTGATGTCTAGTCTGCTTTGTTACTACGACACAAATATGCGTATGATAGTATTTAACCGGGCGTATTGCACCAATATTAGCTGTATTTTCTATTTACTGGGAAAGCTTGAAACAAATAAAATCTTATTTTTATAATGTGCAAATAAATAAAATTTTGTATTTAAAGAAACAATAAAAACTAGTGCTAATTGTAACGGGGACCGTTACAGATGTTCCCCAAACGCTCCCCATGTCCCTTATCGTGCCTTATTCCTCTAAGACCTTTTATAAATATGCTAAGTATCCCAGGATTTCATTTAAGAATATAAAAGTTACAATGATATCAACTATATATTGTTTAACGTTTTGCATGCGCGCACACGTACATGTACATGTATATGCAAGATGATTATGGCATGTTGATTAAGCGATTAACATATATATCTTTCTATCCCGCGAATCAAAGAAAAAAATACATATATAAATTTACCATTTTTCAAGCATATGTCATTTTTTTAATATATCGATTCACATTTTATTTCTCTACTTATTTTAACCTCGGGCTCAAAGTTGGTTTTATTCCGACGACAAGGCAGGGTTAAAGTCGACTAAGGGTATCACGCCAATACTTAACCAATCAAAATGAACTTATTCAATAGTAGTTCCATACATGGAAAAGGGATTTTCCTTTCTGTTCAGAATTTTTTAAAATATTTCCTCTCAGGCCATTTTGACAATTCTGATACCTGTGCCTGGTAAATTTTATATACTTTGTAAATAAATATATAAAGGTTTTTTGACCGGAACTATTCATTTTTTCCAATGCATAGGGAGCTACTCTCTGGGTTTTACAAGAGATGTTTAAAAAGACATTCGTGTCATCTAATGTGACCAATATTGTTTAACACCTTCTTATTAATATTTTTTTTCATGTAAGCAAATATCTGATTATTTTACGAAGGAGCGTACATGTATATTGATTTTTAATATACCGAAAATCGCTATTTCTGGGGATTGCGTAATTCTAAAAAAAATTCAAATAAATTTCAAAGGTAAATTAAACAAAGGATGCTTGGTATTAAAATATTATTTCAAATCAGTAGAATTGAATGCTATTAACGACATCTGAATAAATAGGCTATAAAAGGCTTATATGCCAACTTTGGTCATCTGCACTTTAATTTTAAACACGACAGGATTTGTAATTTTTTCTGTATAAATTAATAATTTCTATATACTTTGGAAACTCAAATGAAATATTTTAATACACTTTCCTCGAGCTCTTTTCTGAAGTTTTCCTGAAATTTTATGTGGGTCCGAGGTGTTATTTGAGTTTAACAGTGATTCTCTACGTTGCCATTAATTTGATTTGTTTGTGTGTGTGTGTGTGGGGGGGTATTTTTATTCTTAACCTATTTAACTTTGGAGCTGAATCTTGTATCTTATTCCAAGATCTTAAGATTGATTGTGACATTTGGATGAAAGGTCAAGGTCATTAAAAACCACCACCTCTTTAACTTCTAACCTGTCAACCGAAATAAACTCTGAAAGGTGTTTCTAGATACATGTACATGTACTTCATGTTTCTCTTTTACCCTTGGGTCAAGGACAAAGGTTAAGGTCGATTTCAAGTTCATAGGTCAAGGTGATTTTGGTAAATAGCTAATATCAACATTTTATTCAGGTTACCAGTGACCTTGACCTAAGTTTCAAGGTCAAGGGTAAAAAGATCTGCATGCTTCAGTATGTTACATGTCTTGACATTTAGAAGTCCTTAATTCTGCATGAACATCAAACACTCAAGTATACTGTCTTTTAATACATTGTGTGCGGTCGCACGTGCATGCACGTCCATGCATTTACTTTTGATAGTAGTATAATGTAGGCAATCATTATATCTATTCATATTTGAAATTTCACCCTGTATTATTCAGAACCAAGAAAGTTGTAGGCATTTGAAGTTTTAGCCAATCAGATTGCAGCACACGTGCATGTGCGTGCGTTCATGATTATTCTTATATATCATGCTGTAGATCTTCATAATGTAAGACTATGTTCAAAATTTCAAAGGATTTTGTCAGAAAACAAAATAGATATTTAGACTTTTAGTTTCAGCCAATCGCAGCGAAGGGCACCTGCATGCGCGTGAGATCTTGCTATTTTGACCATGTCATCATGTCTATACTACTATTATATCCTTATATTATGAGTTTCAAAGCATTTCATCCAATATTTAAAAAGTTACGGCTAAATCTATTATATTGGTCATTTCACGTGTTACACGTGCGCGCACATGCACGCACGTGCGCGCAAAATGACCTTCGTTCCGCACATCTACATAACATACCTAGTGACCCTAAAAAGATTTCACCTAGATCGGATGAGTAGTTTACGAGAACACTCGCGGACAAAAAAGTACCGGAGAACAAAGAAAAAATTCAGAAAAAAAGTTAAAACAATATGTTCCCAAACTTCGTTTGGGGAACATAATAAGGAGACTAATTGTTCAGATTACAATTTTGATTTTAATTCAGATAACAATATGAAGCCTTTTCACCTTCTTGAGTGTTTTCATATCATTTGGCTTCAAGAAAAGAAGTTAAAAGCAAAAAAATTAATAAAACAGCAAAATTCTAATTTTCTACTACCGTGTTTTTAAGATCGGGCTCGGGGTTGGTTATATTCAATAGTAGTTCCATACATGGAAAAGGGATTTTCCTTTCTGTTCAGAATTTTTTTTAATATTTCCTCTCAGGCCATTTTGACAATTCTGATACCTGTGCCTGGTAAATTTTATATACTTTGTAAATAAATATATAAAGGTTTTTTGACCGGAACTATTCATTTTTTCCAATGCATAGGGAGCTACTCTCTGGGTTTTACAAGAGATGTTTAAAAAGACATTCGTGTCATCTAATGTGACCAATATTGTTTAACACCTTCTTATTAATATTTTTTTTCATGTAAGCAAATATCTGATTATTTTACGAAGGAGCGTACATGTATATTGATTTTTAATATACCGAAAATCGCTATTTCTGGGGATTGCGTAATTCTAAAAAAATTCAAATAAATTTCAAAGGTAAATTAAACAAAGGATGCTTGGTATTAAAATATTATTTCAAATCAGTAGAATTGAATGCTATTAACGACATCTGAATAAATAGGCTATAAAAGGCTTATATGCCAACTTTGGTCATCTGCACTTTAATTTTAAACACGACAGGATTTGTAATTTTTTCTGTATAAATTAATAATTTCTATATACTTTGGAAACTCAAATGAAATATTTTAATACACTTTCCTCGAGCTCTTTTCTGAAGTTTTCCTGAAATTTTATGTGGGTCCGAGGTGTTATTTGAGTTTAACAGTGATTCTCTACGTTGCCATTAATTTGATTTGTTTGTGTGTGTGTGTGGGGGGGGGTATTTTTATTCTTAACCTATTTAACTTTGGAGCTGAATCTTGTATCTTATTCCAAGAACTTAAGATTGATTGTGACATTTGGATGAAAGGTCAAGGTCATTAAAAACCACCACCTCTTTAACTTCTAACCTGTCAACCGAAAGAAACTCTGAAAGGTGTTTCTAGATACATGTACATGTACTTCATGTTTTTTTTTACCCTTGGGTCAAGGACAAAGGTTAAGGTCGATTTCAAGTTCATAGGTCAAGGTGATTTTGGTAAATAGCTAATATCAACATTTTATTCAGGTTACCAGTGACCTTGACCTAAGTTTCAAGGTCAAGGGTAAAAAGATCTGCATGCTTCAGTATGTTACATGTCTTGACATTTAGAAGTCCTTAATTCTGCATGAACATCAAACACTCAAGTATACTGTCTTTTAATACATTGTGTGCGGTCGCACGTGCATGCACGTCCATGCATTTACTTTTGATAGTAGTATAATGTAGGCAATCATTATATCTATTCATATTTGAAATTTCACCCTGTATTATTCAGAACCAAGAAAGTTGTAGGCATTTGAAGTTTTAGCCAATTTATATTGTATACACGTGCATGTGCGTGCGTTCATGATTATTC